GGAGTATGATGTATTGCGTCCGCACTTAGATGGGTATGCATGACCTAATGACAGCTAAAACAGATAGTAACATGAATACATAAAAGCGGAAGGAAACACGAACTATTCAGAACGAAAAATGACACTGAAGATGACATAATGCCGAAACCGGTTTGTCTCCAAACCAAATTTGACAAGGGATGACGGAAAATCGTTCCACAATACATCAATGGTATAATCGTTCTCACCAAAATGAACATGACATGGTTTCATTACAGGTTTGTAAGTATTAAAAGGATCGATATCTTCATTAGAACTGAATTGCTATTGGCTCCGAGGCAGCTCAAGGTACTTACTCTCTATCTGCCAGTTTAAACGGCGTTATCACAAGATAGCCATTGCCGGTATCACGTTGTGAAAATAAGCCTCCAGCGGTTTCACTTCCATCCGGGCGTATGAATGAACGAGGTCCCATAATAAGTTCCTTATTATGTATAAATTTTCCACGCACAGCGACCAACCGATACTCCATAGCAGACACCTCGCTAAAGCTGAAAGAAGACAATTGAACTTAGTAATAAAGGCAATAATTTTAGTTTAATTATATATGCATCATTACTCTGTGGGTAGTGGTACTGGTGACATTTTGGTTTGAAGCTCCAAGTTCCTGATTAATTGCTCTTTCCATGCTTTGCGTTTCACTTGCCAGCACCCTAGACCAAATGTAGACACTGGGACAAGCTGATATTAAGGAAATATCAATAACTGCTATAAAATTAATAAACTCTGCAGAAAGCGACTTACCAAGAGGAACCAGCCAAGAGGTGTTATTTTTTTGTTGCTATCAATCCGCATGGTAGCGGTGCCAGTCCCACGACTCGATTGCCATTTTCGATGAACCAAAGAAAACGTGTTTGACGTAGGCAGCTTCCCAAATGGATTTGCAATTAATTTTGTTGAAACGCTGTGTTTTACAAATGTTTTTGCCGCGAGTCGCAGCATAATTTATTTATTTTTAATTGCACAATGGTAAATAGACTTTTTTCAATCAGCGGTTAACGATCAGCTGATAAAAATGTTGCCATAGCATAAGGCCAGTATGCAGCTCTCAAGAAAAGCAAAAACTCCATGCAGCATTGCCGAATTGACGAGATCGTCATCATTTTGACTCTTTTTTTTTTAGCTCAATGACGTTTTGACGATTTTTTATTTTAGATTTTCCACCTAATTTCCAGAGAACGTTAAATACATCTATGCATTTGACAGCATACTTTATCATTTGTAAAATGTCGCCAAAAAAGATTCGAGCTTTTCAGACCAAATTTGTATTTTCCACCAAAATAAACGATGTTTCTACTCTGAAGAATTCTGCGAAATGAGAAAATACTTGTCAAACAACAAAAAAGATAGTTGAACGCAGACGAGATCTCGCAATGCGAGAAAAAGTATGCTACGTACTTTTAGCGGTCCACAATTGCAGCATTTCGCATGCGTCGCCTTTTATGCGAGATTTTCCACAACGGGAAGACGGCCAGTTACCGGCCGTCTTCACATGCTTGAAAATCTCGCTTGCGTTCTGCTTTTTTCTCTCGCAAGCGAGATAGAGTTTTGTTGACTGGGCATTTGACAGCATACTTTTTCATTTGTAAAATGCCGCCAAACAAGAAGGTTCAAGCCTTGCCGGCTCTTAAAAGTTTGAGAAAATTAGAAAATCTGCATAAAGAGATGTATTCTATTTTCAAATGAAAAATGGCTGCCTCTCAATTTGTATTTGCCTACAAAATGAACGATGTTGCTACTCTGAAGAATTCTGCGAAATGAGAACATAGCTGTCAAACAAGAAAAATGACAGTTGAAAGCAAGCGACAAAGAGCGTAAATCTATAAGAGGAGACAACACTTTAAAATTGTAGCGAGTGTCAACATCAAGAGCGTGCCTTCTCTTTTCATCCAATCACAAAACGTATTTGGGCAAAAGAGAAAGCACGCTCCTGATGTTCCCACTCGTTACAATTATAACGTGTTGTCTCTTCTTATAGATTTACGTTCTTTGCATGCGAGAGCTCGCATACCGCTCGGTATGCGAGAAAAAGCATGCTTCGTACTTTTTGCGGTCTACACGTGCGGTTTCTCGCATGCGTCGTCACGCAAGCGAGATTTTCCAGCACGTGAAGACGGCCGGTTAGAGCTGGAAAACTATCGATGGCCTCGACCAACGTAACGTTCCCACGACAGTCGGGTCTACGTGACCGGAACGGCCCATATTTATATTTGGTTAAGGACTGTCACTCCAGCAACACTCCTCAAAAACTCTTTGTGGAACTTGATGCTGCTACAACAACAACCATCGATAGTACCGGTACTATCGAAAATGTCGACACTATCCATAGTAGATTAGAATTGCTAAAATATGTCGGTATTTTTGTTAACGAACAAAAGTTTATCAATGATTTTTGGCTTCAAGAAGCATTTGTATGTATGTATGAGTGTAAGCTATCCTATAAACGTTTTGGCGAACGTTCGAAAATGACCTTCAATCAAAAACTATGTTCACATTACCAACATAAAATATTTAGTTTCGTTTAAAATACCTCACTAAATTAAGTGCGTTCATACACGCGTTTCTTTATTTTTCTTGACAGCTTTGAAGCAACCCTGTGTTTATTTAACGAAAAGAGATCGCGAATGTGAGTAATTGCGTATTTTTTTATATTCTGAGTTGTTTGTGGTAATTTTTTAGATTTTAGATGAGTGATCAAAAGAGAAAGCTTCTGGAAATATTTTACAAACTACCACGCGCGATTATTAAAAACAAAAATGTCCAAACACAATGACATATAAGTTGTGGGACAATACTTTTTTCGATTATTATCGATAAAATTAGAGCCGACACTGAATTGTTCGTGACTTGGTTCTTGGTTTAAGATAAACTACGTACTTTCATCTTAATTTACTGAGAGACTTTACAAGGCGAAATTACTTAGTTTGTACTTAATTTATGCGTAAATTAAGATTGACCTCTAAATTACGCCAATGGGAACATAGTTAAAGAACGTAGATAACAAGAAGGGACTACTCGTTATAATTGTACCGAAAGTGCGCAACAGGGGCGTGCCTTCTCTTTTGCCCTAGTGCGTTTTTTGATTCGAAGAAAAGAGAAGGCACGCCCCTGCACTTACACCACAATTATAACGAGTTGTCCCTTCTTGTTATCTACGTTCTTTGATTCAATATCCAATATGCATATCGAACTGAGAACGAACTCAAAACCAACCTTACCGTGGAAACACAATGCCGGCCAACGGCGAACTCACCAAAGCGAAATTACCGCTGTCAAAATTAGCACACCCGCCAGCATATGAAATTGAACACAACCAAAGCGAAATGCGAAGTGCGCTCGGCGGCGTTTCGTGTCGATAGATTTATTTCTATCGCTCTGCTGGGCGATGGCCGCAGTACATGCCAAAGGTGGTCGTATGTTTTTTTTTTTTACTTTCAAAAATTTAAAAGAAAACAGCATGTAACACGAATTATTTTTAATGGTTGTAAAATACAGTGATCGATTCGTTAAATCTGGCTTAAAATTAAATAGTTTATAATAATTCCCCCTTGCCTTATATTTATATTTGTTATCATTTCATCATTTCTAAATATGGTTTCGTTTTTCAAAATATGGTCACCTAACTTATAAGTGCGACGAAATGGTATCAGCTGTTTTCGCCACCGCTCTAATTCTGTTAAAGTAGTCGGAATAGCAGGGCGAACGGGGAACGATGGCATCGCCAAACTCGGCGAACTTCGCCGTTCGCCGGGTATTGTGTTTCAAGCATTAGTTTTGCAAGGTTCATAGCACATTATATACCAAGGCGTATTTAACAAGGTGGTGTTGGCCGTATATAAGTAAAAAATTACACTAACAAATTATACGCTGATGTCCATACTGTCGGTGGTATGAGTTACAACAAACACATCATTTTGACGTAATGGCCTCCACGGCGAAAAACTCAGCTGTCGCCCCAACACCACCTTGTTTAATACACCTTGGTATATACAGTAATAAACCTTTTCGCAGTTTTTCACCATTTGGGCCCCGAGGAGTACTTTTGGGCTGTGTGCGGCCTTTTCGTTTTGCGCGCACGACAACTCTTACTGTGGGGAATTTCGCCTTATGATTAGAAAAAGTTCTTTTCGTGGATAAAATATACATAATTATGTGTTATTTATAAACAAAATGTAGGTTAAGTATAATATTCATCTTTAATGTATGCTGATATTCATGCTTCATGGAGAATAATATCAATAGTTAAGTACATAATTAACGCTTGTGTTTTATAAACTGGAAAACTCAAATCGGAATTATAGCACTGAATGGAGTTTTCTTAAATGTACTGTGGTTCATAGTGTATTGGAAATACATTCGAGACGGGTTCGACAAAAATTAAAACCACCCTAACAAGAGAGGAAGTGCAATCCAACTCATTTTCCAAGGGAAATATAGGACAATCACTCCCTCTCATTAAAATTTCAATTCGATAATGGGTTGGACTTTGAATTCATAACGAAGGAAAAATAAAATGGATAAGGAAAGTTCCGTTTTGCTGGAAAATGGCCTAGTTCTCGAATCGAATACTAATCTATTAATTATCGAAGGTGAGACTCGAAACGGTTTGATTGTCCAATCATTTTCGAATTATTAACCAAACCAAATGTTGATTGGGCATTCAAAGTTACAAAACCTTCGATGTTTTCGATAGTCAAAAACCATCGATAGTTTTCCAGCTCTACTCCATGGTGTATTTCACACGGGGTGTTAGCCGTATATAAGTAAAAAATTACACTAACAAATTATACGCAGATATCCATACTGTCATTGGTATAAGTTACAACAAACACATCATTTTGACGTAATGCTCTCCACGCCGAAAAACTCAGCTGTCGCAACAACGCCACCTTGTTAAATGCACCTTGCTCTACTCCATGTGCTCGATTTAATAAAATTGCCGAAAAGAAATCATCTAGAAGATCAAATTTTTAGTTCTGAAAATGCGCTTGGTTATATTGTACGGAAGTCAAACAGGTACTGCTCAAAATGTGGCTGAACAGATTTGGCGGGAAGCAAAAACGTGGGGCTTTAATGGACCAGTTCTACCGATGGATGAGTATCCAGTGCAGCACTTAATCGAGGAACAATTGGCTATTTTTGTCGTAGCCACCACAGGTAATGGGGATGAACCAGATAATATGCAGAAAACGTGGAAATTTTTATTGCGTCGTAGCTTACCATCAGACTCGTTGCAACGGTTGCGGTTTGCCTGTTTGGGATTAGGGGATTCTAGCTATGCTAAGTTTAATTTTGCTGCTAAAAAGCTGAACAAACGTCTACTACAATTGGGTGCAAGTCCCGTACTGCCTTTAGGATTGTGTGATGACCAGCATGACCATGGACCTAGTGCGACGGCTTTGCCGTGGATAGCAGAATTATGGAATGAATTGAGGAAGTCTATACCTTTCCAACGACAAAAAAATGGAGAAGCAAAGGCAATTTTTAAATGGAATGTAACATACTCCCATCCGACAACGCCTTTAGCAGAAATTTCTCATCTGCAATGGCCACTAAAGAATGAGGCTGTATGTTTTACTTTGGGGGAAAATCGACGAACTACTGCCGCAGATCACTTTCAAGATGTACGATTTTTGAGATTTGTCTTTCCATCTATTATTCGTTGGAATGCCGGTGATATCTTAGATTTACGTCCCAGCAATGCAGACGAGCAAGTTCTGCAGTTTTTCGAACTAGTTAAAGAACATAATTTAGGTTTTAATGAAAGTACCGTAGTAAAACTTGACACGGTATATGATGATATGCCTGTGCCATTGGCTTACGCAAAACCAGTGACTGTTGGCATGCTAGCAAAGTATATATGGGATTTGAACGCCTGTCCAAGGCAACGTGCTTTTGAACTTCTATCATTGAATTGCGAAGATGAATTAGAGAAAGAGAAACTAGAAGAATTCGCCTCATTAGAGGGATTAGATGACTTAATAAACTATGTGAATCGTCCGCGGCGCACCATTCTCGAGGTTTTGCAGGACTTCCGGCATAGCACCTCGAAACTAAACCTTCCCATTTTATTTGAATTATTTACCATAATACAACCGCGAAGTTTTTCCATTGCTTCAATGCCTACAACTCGTTCACTAGATCTTCTGGTGGCAGTAGTTGAGTATAAAACCAAAATGTCTAAGCCTCGTCTTGGGCTTTGTTCTAATTGGTTGAAGTCGCTGACCATTGGAAGTAAAGTATATGGGGTAATAAAACGTGGAACAATGTCTTTGCCTAGCGAGCTGGCAGCGCCAATTGTGATGGTAGGGCCAGGTACCGGTATCGCACCTTTTCGGAGTGTAATACAGTACAAGAAGGAACAAGAAAAAAATGGCGGCAAAATCGGCGAATTAATTGTATTCTTTGGTTGTCGAAATAAAGCGAAGGACTATCACTTTGCTGAAGATTTTACACGTTGGCACGCGGAGAAGACTTGTAGAATATTTGTAGCATTTTCACGTGATCAGGACCATAAAATATATGTTCAACATTTAATAAAACAGCAGAAAGAGCTAATTAGTGAATTAATTTTGAAAAAATCTGCCGTTATAATGGTGGCTGGTTCGTCGAATAGTATGCCCAAAGCAGTGCATGAGGCTTTCATAGAGGTATTGGACGGGAATGAGGAATATCTGGATAAAATGATCAAAGGACGGAGATATCAAGAGGAGACTTGGTCATAATGCATACATAATAAAATGGTTAGTAGATTTTTTGTGTATTTTGCAATTTATTAAATAAATTATTTTTGGTGCTATTGTACATAAAGCGACTAAGAAATGCATGAAAGCTTAAAAGCTAGTATATAGTTGTATAATTATTTGATATTCATAGCGGTATATGAAATTTTGAGCCTTAACTTATTTTTATAACAACACAAGGCCTAAGTGCACTTTGAGTGGCTTAAAATAATACTTACCTACATTTAAGTAATCTCGTTTAGTAATATTTGTTGAAAACTGTCCTAAATCTGTTACTACAAATTTAGAAAACGAGAGAAGAAAATCAATTTTGTACTAAAAGTATTCTATTGCAAAAATGGTCCATCAAAAACTAATGATCTACATAAATGCTTCATTAGTTGCATTAGTTGCAAGTCTCTTGTCGGACGGAGGATATGTACTTATTACGGAAAAATAGGGCCCCTGGCATAGACAAATAGTATATCAAATGAGAGGAAATTGAATTTTGTTTGCCCACTATTATAAGTGTCTTATAAGAAAACTCTCTTTTTGTACAAAAAATGGGATTTTTACTTCATGTTTAGATTTGAACGGCCTGTGAGTTTTCGAGATACTTGATCTCATTTGACCTTTTGATTTCACAATTGTCTCGGACTTCCGCCCAAAAAGTTAAAAACGATTAAGATCAGTATAAAAACGTTCTATCGAACGACAATTATCGAGTTTTCTTATACCTAAACAGTTGGTATTCTAGACTCGACACGATTTTTCTTTTCTTTCCACTTGTTTTTGCAAGACATTGCTAATATCCGGTTTGTCTATTTTTTATATTTATGGCCTTAAGGAAGGAATCTTGCTAACGAGCTTGATTTATAATGTTGCTTGTTTATGAATTATCTCCATAAAAAACGGAACTTTGTATCGCATCCTATTTTACAATTACAGATATTCATCAAATAGTTTTTCCGACGATGTACGGCAAAAGGGACAATGACCTTTCTGTAGTACTTGCAGTTCAAAGTCTTCAGAATAAAATACCTAAAAGGAAATGTTCGGTAAATAATTAGTAAGCAACGCCGCGACGGTCTTGAAAACTCACCAACAAACATTCCGGACAAAAAGTAACTTGTAGATCCGGTAAAATGTTGCGGTAATATATATTTTTTAAATTGTTTTCACGTCGCTTGACAATTAAAATGTGTCCTGGGTCAATTGCTCGCAATGCATTCCGATCAAGGCTTAGGGGTAAGGCGCTGGCAACATCCTTTCAATGAAATAATTTAATGAGAATGTAAACTTGACATTGTACTATGTATGTACATATACATATATCGCTCGTTTTCTGAAAGATCCGCATAATCTCATTTCTTTTCCTTCACAATTTTAGCTAAACGACAACTATTTGACCAAAGTAAAGTGACCAATTAAATGTTTGCCCGGGGGGTTTGTCCGCTGGTATAATTTTTACCATTGTACCTTCTATAGTATTTTGGTTTTTATTTTTGTTCAAGGAAGATACTGGATTCAAAACAAACTTTTTACCCCATTTTTAATTTTTGAGCTATGCCGTTCTTCCAGCAAACTAGTAGATGTTATGTACTTAGTTACCTCATTAAAAGGATCACCCTCCTCGGCAGGTTTCGGCGGCGCGAGTAGCAATCGTTCTGCCTCTGCATCAGTAATATCTACTTCAGGGTAAAATTGTACTAAAGGCAAAATTTCTAAAGTATACATATGAAAGTTAAACGTTATTTTAGTATAAAATTCATTATTGTCAGTTTTATATTTGATGTGATTACCAAAAGAGATGAATGAAAATATATAATCTTGTTTACAGGTTGGGCAAATGTTGCCATTCAAATGTTGGCTATAATTTGAGCATTTGTAACAGAGCGGCAACAGCTCTTCGGGATCATTAAATCCACTCTTGCATGCCTTACTATTCAGGTAATTTATCTATAAAAACCACCAATGAGCTTCAATAATATAAACAATCGTAGAGAATTGAAACTCACATCAATTTGTTCCTGGACACCGGGGGGGCGGTTTTAGTGATTGCAAACGCTTATTCACAACCAAGCATAATTTATTAGCCTGCAGTAGTTTAGCCTGTTTAGCTAGTGTGAACAAAACCGCGCTAAAAAAAAATTACCATAGATATAAAAAGTAAGTATGATTCTCGATTTGTGATTTAAGGCAGAAATTCTTTTACTCACAATAAGCTCACCCCCTTTGGTGTTCCTTTGTACTCGACTTCGTTCAATATGAAACGGCTTACGTTAAATAGACTAACTGGTGAATATGTCGTAAATGGTTCTTTCATATAGTTAAATATTACACTGTAAGCATAATATACTTTAGCAATTCGTAAGTGGCTTTGATACTCTTTATAATGGTGGTCAACAGGATTTTGCTCACTACAAAAAGTAAAATTTTCAAATGTAAATAATAACAGGACACCAAAGTTACTCTATATTTACTCTTTCTTGTAGTAAATGTCTAAATATTGTTTTGAAAGTAGCCAATAGAAGTAACTGGCATCTAGGAAACGCTCCTCTACAATGGCCGATGTGCTGAGCTGCTTCAGCAAACGATTTGCGTCTTTCATGCGCCCCGCTTTCAAGTAAGCTACATTTAATAATAAAACAAAGTTTAAAAAATATATAACTATGTAGATATCGCACACCGTCTTCAAAAGAGTCACAACTCAAAATAATACGTTTGTCAGAAAATGCGAAAAACTACCTTAGGGCGGCTTTACCTTAGGGTTTTTTTTAACAAATTATAACAAAAATTTGCTCCAGCTTTTGCTGAAACGTAAATAAAAGCTCTGCGTACATTTCTAGCGCATAATCTCAAAAATGCCAAATTTTTTGTTATGATTCTTTTGAAGACGGTGTGCGATATGTATGTATGTATAGCATAAAGGAATGCTGAAGCGAACCTTCGTGTGCCTCAATAAATTGGTCGGATTCAGCAAGCCATTGGGCATGCTGGTAATTGACAGTGGGCAACATTTCTGGCATATTTTCTGCAAGTCTGAAAGCTTCGGCCCAATCGCGTGCTTCAACGTGTAATTGTATCACTTGTGCTTCATCGCCGAGCTTCTTAAAGATTTCAGCTGCTAATGGTAAAGCTTTCAACCGCTTTAAATTGAATGCAACCGATTCCAGTGAGATTTTCTCACTCAAACTTAATCGGCGTCCAATGTCATATAAACTTTAAATTAATAAAAGAAGTTTATTAAATTAAATTACGTTTTTAGCTGCATTGCATAGCTTACATATCTGCCCAACCCTGTTCCGCTACAATGTCTATAGCTCGTTGATGCTCCCCAGCTGATAATAATAATTCTGCGGCTGCTCGTGGCTCCTTGACGGAGTATGCCCATTCTGCCCTTTTTTTCACTAAATCACGTTTCGCTTCATCCGAGCCATCTTTGATGAATTCTTGTGCGAGATCGAACATGCGCAAATCAGTATACATTTCCAATGCACGCATGGGCTGATTGCACTTTTGATAAAGACGTGCAGCCTCCTTGTATTTTCCAGCATATGCACAGCTCTCCCCTTGTAGCACCTCTTTTGACACTTCTCCACGTTTCTGTTTATCAGTTAATTCATCGATTAACTGCAGCCAAGAGAGATTGCGCACCTTTACGTATGCATCACGCGCTATATGTAGATGCAAAGCTTCCAGAGCAGATTGTGCAAGGCCTTCCCAATCGGTTGTGGTCACACCTAAGCAGGCAACTTGGTAGGCCTCTCTGTAAGTAGTTTTAAAGAGGTAAAAAAGCGGAATAAAGAAAACGTTGCATAATTAATTTTACTCGAAGAGTCCCGCTTCAACGAATTGCCACATGGTTGCGCCAAGTGCTAGTGGTATATTATGCATAACGTTGCCACGCAGACAAAAAGCCGTGGCCCCACATAGACCCACTACTACGCCTAACATATTCTGGGGGCCGCGTGGGGGCAGACTGCCAACGCGAATGCTGAGTCCACCTACAGTGTGCGTGTAGCAAAGCATTGAGTCCAGGTGTGTATCCCAGGTTACAGAGTTCACGCCAGTGTCCTTTAAATTCGTTTTAAATATTTCAAAGTGATTTGATGTGCATCATTTGTACAAACCTGATAAAGTAGAGTGTCACTAACAATATCTCGAACAACTAGGCGTCCAGTATCATCCACTACAGCAATCTTAGTGCGGTTCGCATTGATATCTAGACAGCGTACTGCTGATACGACACTGGTAATTAAAAGTGGAAGTGAGTTGTCCAAAAATATACGAAAAACCTGAGAATTTTCGATTCAGTTAACTAATATTGATTAGCTATCAAGACATAAATACCTGCCCGCTCTTTAGGCCAACAAGAAGACCTTCTCGGCCTGATGGGCCACCCGTCACCTAAAATAATAAATTTATCAATATGTTATACGAGTTTTTGCTTTTCAAATTGCGTTAAATTTTTGTTTGTTTCCTTTTTCTTGCAGTTCATTCACCTTAATATAGCGTATGAAAGAGTCCATTATCCAGTCTCGTTGTAATATGCCGTTAAAGTCCAAGCTCTGCAGACGTTTCTCCTGGCATAGGACTATGTGACGTGCACATACTACCAATAGACTGCAATCGAATTTCTTCTGAATCTTTTCTTTTACTTTGTAATGCATCGGCTGTTCTTCACCAGAACTTAATTCGTACAGAACCACACGCTCAGGTAGTTGCACTGCTAATCGATTTCTATAGATAGCAATTTTTTGCACTAAATCGCGGCATTTTATGCGCACTTTCTGGCCAGAAATTAAATGTTGTATTATGACATCGCACATATTTTCACGAAATGCATAGCGTTCACGATACAGCGCATGAACCGTACTTGAAACGATGTTAAAGCAAGCGAGTGTGCCATTCTGACAGCCAATCGTATAAGATTGACTGTTGGGATGAATAGCAACCGACCAAATCCAGGATTTAAAACCTTCGCCAAGTGTGCCCAAACGTACGCCTTCCTTTGTAAAAAAGTGTAATGAGTCCGAACATCCACTCACTACGCAATATTCTCCATTGGGGAAAAAGGTTAAGCATAGCGGATCAAAACCCAGCGCTCGCTCTTTGCCAATCATCTGACCGCTTAATGTATGAAATGAAAGTGTTTGGCCCCAATCAGCTACTCCAATTACATCAGTACTAGTCATTGGACAGCACTGTAGGCTAAAGACGTTGCTGCTTGAACCACCTGGACGATCGAAACGGCCTTTTTCCTCACCAAGCTAAGCAATTGGTAAGTAGGTATGTATATACATACAAACGTACATAATATGTACATATGTATGTAGTATATAGATTATGTACCATAACATGTATATCTGCATATGTTTATTTTTATGAATCTAAACTTACTTTGCTTCTAATGGAAATACTGCCATTGGCTAATCCAAGTATCAAGTACTGGCCATCATTGGTCCAGGTACATGAATTGACTCGTGTGGAAATTTTGTACTTTTGCACGGCTTTCTGGTCAGCAGACCAGAAAGCAAAGTCACTGTGTGAACAAGAAGCCAATTGATGTGAAACCGGATTGAAGGACATACATTGCACTGAGTCGTTATGTCTGAAATTATAGGCAGCTTTATATGTACATACATGCTGGGTTGTGAAGATTGCAGAAAAGAATTACGAATATTTTAGCAATCCCTCCAACTGAGGTGTCCACACGATAACTGTTTTGTCTACAGCACCACTTGCAAACTTTTTGCCATCGCGAGCATAGGCCACACAATTAACTACATCTTTGTGAGCCTTAAGAGTATTTAGTAAAGTTCCATCTGGGTCATATATAAGCACCCGATCACCGGCCGCCACCACTAGTTGCTTTCCCTCAGGGTGATAGCATAAGGAATGCACACTAAAAAAGGTGTAAAACATAAACGCCGAAGAGGATATTTTCATTGTAAGGATCGTTAAGTCGGTTGGTACTTTACTGATTTTTACGCACCTGACTTGGTCTTCTTTGGTGTTTGGAAATTCAATTTTCTGAACCCATTTAAGTACTCCACGCATTGCTACTAGACTTATGGAATACTTTAGAAAATTGTTGGGCTCTTTTAAAAGATCTGAAAGTGGTTCTGATGATTTTTTAACTTTGGTATTGCATTTAATTATTGTTTACTTTCTTTTGTTGCATAGTAGCTTGGCAACGACGTTGGAAACGACACATATGTGCTTCGCCGTACTACTAGAGATCGTAAATAGTGGTTAATCGTTACTGAATGAACGAATAATATAGTAAAATTGAGTACATTTAATCCCATAAAATTTATGGTATGATGTCTGATGTGTGATCCGGCCTATGTCGGTCTAAGGGATCTGGGCCACTACACAAATATTAGCTTAACGTTGACAAAAATGCATACATACGAGTATAAGGTATAAAAATAATGAAAACACTAGTGATTGGCTTTAATTACAAATATGTTTGTGTAGAAATACAGCGGGGAATTCGTATGTTTTCTCTTACTCTCATAACATTAACTTCATTAACGTGCCTTCAGTCCTTATTTCATTGGTGCACCTTAAGTATTCGAGTAAAAGATCGAATTTAACACCACTAGCATGTGTGTTTATACCCAATTTGCGACAGAGGGAGAACGAGTTCGATTCGACGTCGTTACGCCGTTTGTGTGAACTCGAAACGACGTCGAAACGAAGTCGTTTTTTTTTTCAATATAAACAGCAACGTCCTTCCGACGTCGTTTTCCCTCATCGAATCGAAGTCGTTACGACGTCGGTTTGGTGAAGTGTGTGTGGTTGTACTCGAAACGGAAGTCGTTTTTCCATACAAAACGCAACGTCGTTCCGACTTCGTTTCCCTCATCGAATCGAAGTCGTTACGACATCGGTAAGGTAAAGTCGTTTGGGTGAACTCGAAACTACGTCAAATCTTTCCATACAAAATTTTTACTCTATTACACTAAAATTTAATCAGTTATAAAACTGCTTTATATTTTTATTTTAATTCAGATTGGAAAGTTTGAAATTTTTAGGAGCGCTTGACGATTTTTTTTTTTTTTTTTTTTTTAATATTGCACACAATTGAAATTGCATTTGTATGGATTTTGTTAAAGATTTTGAGCATCGTTTTGCAGTTCGCTAGTATATCGTTTTTGCGCCTCGCCGGCGAAGTGTGCTTTTCATCCGACGGCGAGTTCGTTGATGAGTCGTTGGCGAACGCCGCGGGCGAAGAAATATTTCACCAGACCGAGTCGGAAACGTCGTTACGAAGTCGTTTGGCAAATTGGGTTGGTAAACATAATGTAAAATATACATACATACATTCATACATACATATATGCGTAAGTGGACATATATAAATTTGGGCATATGTACACCTATGGCCAAAATAATAGAAACAGGTCATTTTGATAAATTTTGGCTATTTTTCTCTTCTTTGTTTAATGTTCATTAAATTTTATTATAAAAGTATAGCACCTTATATAACAAGGGCCGTATATACAAATCAAAATTGTAAACTTTGTTCGGAAATTTGAAAAATTGGCCGAAGTTTCATCAAATCGGAATTTTTAAAATTAATTAATGAATCCAGTTTTATAGCCCATTAAATTTTAGTGTATAAAGTGCAAGTTTGAAATTGATTTTTGATATTTATTTTGTAGAGGCTGTCACGCATTTTTAGCAACTACTAAAATTTAATGGACTCCAAAACTGTATACCAAAAATTATTTATAAAAATTCGGATTAAAGAGTTTGACAAAGTTTGAACTTCTGTGAACTTTTCTAATTTCCTTACAAAGTCCACAATTAGGATTTATGTAAATTTTTTATTGTAATGAGATTTACTCTTATAAAAAATAATGAACATTAAGCAAAAAAAAAATAGTGAAAATGTCATGTTTCTATTATTTTGGCCATAGGTGTACATACATACATATCTATGTACATTAAAACAAGCCGGCAATTTTTGTGAAATAAAAAGCCGGTATAAAAATTCAGTTTATTACATAAAAACTTTGTAATGAGTGATTACATTTTCTTGAAGCTTAACACTTTTATTTTAAGGCCCTCTATGTGAATCTATTTTGTATGTACACACATAGCTATTTGGTCAAATGAAGAATTTTAGCTGTTAATGGTGAAATGAAGGTGCAGATATAGGGTGCTTTTACTAAAATGCTCCCCTAGCTGCTTGTTCTACAAAAAGTACAGCTAGCGTATACGAATACATAAAGTACATATCTACATTCATGCATCCATACATATCTATGTATATGTATATATAAAGATGTTTGTGTGTACATACATGCATATGTATATAAACGTGTAGCAGAAGTTTTGAGTTGAGTCTTGGCATCCCTCAGCGTTCGTCAACGTCAATGCTAGAACTCTGCTACTTCGCTTGTGCGGCTCTGCCGTTCAGTATTCAGAAAGCAGCGATTGAGCGAAGAACGTGTTCTGTGCGTGGGAAAAGCAGTATATTTAATTTGGCGTCGGTTTTATTCTGTTGCAGCGCAACGCCGCGTTGCTCCCGCTTCGCTTTTTGATGGTGAGGTGACTATACTAGTTTTAATTTATTCGGTGAAAAGAGCGAATAATCGATAGAAATTAAGGTAGAGAAATATTGAGTTATATTCAGAAAAAAAAATTACAATATTATCTGTATAGTTTGGAAAATGGGATTGGTAGTATAGAAATAATTGAAATCACGCCTGGCGTTTTTCTTCCGAGTCTAGAAATTCAGCGGGTCGGCCATTTTGGATTTGTACTTGACGAAACATTGAATTTCGATCAGTTGTATTTTCGGCTTTATGTTTGTCTCTTTCGCGCATATAGCGTTTGCGAGCAGATTTGGATTTGATGGCGCAGAAAAATCGAACGAACGCGAAGGTTGTTCGTTAAATTCGACATTTTCGTGCGGAACTTCAAGGCGTTTGGAATATTTTCTGGTCCGCTACGGCAATTTTTGTACAGTGTTGCTTTTTTGGTCGATGTGGTGTGTTCAGGGAGTTGCAGCGTTTATTATTGAAGTTGCAAAGTTTTTGGGGATAGCTAAAGTGGATTAAAAAGTAAATTTGGTGAAATTTGTGATAAAAATATTTGTAACCAACGTGCCATTTTGTAACTCGTCAAAGATGGCAAAATTAAGGCACACAGGTAGGCAGACGAGAGTCATGGCAGCAAATTTAACTGCATCTGCTCGTGCTTCGATTTCTCGTTCGTTAAGTTGCTTTTCATTTTGTGGCTTGCTAGCTAGCTAGATGTCGTACAGTAGTGAACGGTGTGAATTTGGTTGCGTTTGCGGTATAGAGCCATTTTAGCGAAAATTTGTGTAAGAATTTTATTAAGTGGTTCCCTTGTGATTAAATATGTAAGAACTGAGCGTGTTACATATATAACTTGAAAATTATGCGGGTCATGGTGAAACTCACCCGCCGTGCTTAATGGGGTGTATTGCATAGTTAGAAGCTGTGAGAAGTCTCAAATATTTTTCGAAGTTGTAATTTGTCCAGTAGTGAATAAATCTGTCTTGTGATCCGAACGCGCGGTTGGGGTTTACCAATGGCGCTTAGGTGTACAAGAACAAGATTTGTCCGGGCACTGAAACTGCTTTCAGAGAATGGCATAACATGGTGTGAGATGGATGCAGACACTCGATTTATATGTATATATCTATCGAATGTTAAGTTAAATTTTTCAAGTAAAAATCTATTTTTGATGTTGGGTTGCATAAATAATCGATAAATGGATAGGTTTACTGTTAAATTAAATTGACTTCAAGTTTTTTTTCACATTATAAGTACATATGTATGTATGTATGTATGTAATTGATAAAATAAATGATAAAAAAAAAATGCCGCCGCCGGATGCCAAGCTTTGTGATACTTTTCTATCCTTCATGTTATCATATATTTGTCCCTTTTACTAATCGGCATGGTGACCTGAGGCAAAATTCGGGTTTTGGAGCATGTGTCATTTCGTCGTTAAAAACTTAACGAAGCATATACTAGGGTTAAATCGAACGAAAACCGTCTGGTGAATGGGTAACCAAAGTATAGACTTTTGGGTCTTGTTAAAGGATTTTTGCGGAACGGCCACATTAATATATACATACACATGTAATAACATTTTATTTTATATTTTTTGCTATTTTACTCATTTATGTGTGTACATAATTTTTTCCAGATTAGCCGGTGGCAGTAAAGCAAATAATTTATTACGATTGTGGATTTGGTGACTTAGAATATACCTGCATTGCTGTGTTCTAAGCAGTGCGTAGTGGCTGATCTTCACTGCTAAAATTAAGCGAGCCATGAATAATCAGATGAATAACGCGGTGCGCAAAATTCATAACTTGCATACGAGCGGTGCTGTGACCGTTACCGGTCTCAGCCAGCCCCGCATATTAAAACAGAAAGTTGGTTCCGGTATTGTGACGTCCAGTAACACACATAATCTGCAACAGACACATGTTAATAGCTCAAATCGATGCTATGTATGCGACGATGCACTGGGTGCAAGTCAACAGCAAAATTTGCTCACCGAAACACAGACTTCGCATACTGCCACCAAGTTTCCGAACAAAATTGGCCAGCTTGTGGGTGATGCTTTTATGGTCATTGTAAGCGTAGACGATGTTGTGTGCGCACGTTGTACAAACCTGCTTAATTATTTGGATCGACTGGAGAATGATGTTGAGCGCGTTAGAACCAACTTAATGAATCTGCTGCATAAGAAATATGGCCTGAATGATGACAGTGGCGGAGGTAGTGCGCCGTCGCCTCCTATAAAAAATGCAGAAACTGAATAGCGGTACCGTCACACGCACTGCCGAAGATACAACTAGTGATTTGGGTCGAGTGCGCAAAGTTCTACAGACTGTGTCTAGTGATTCAAGTGTGGGAAAGCAGTCACCTCCAGGTATGTATCACAATGCAACATATTTGCCTCGGTATGTAAGTAATGCTTTGACGAAGTACCAATTTTAAATCGATGATTGCTCGTTTTGATATATCACACACCATCTTCCAAATAGGCACAACTCGAAAAAAATTTAACTGGATATCTATTTCCACAATTTATCTCCAATTAATGTGAATATGTTTTTTTTTTCCTGATTATATTCTCTTACCAGAAAGCTACTGTTATACCTATTTTTGTATTAATTGCGTTGAATCTGTGCGATCCACAGGCAAT